TATATATATATTCAGAATCAAATGTGTACTGTGTTTGAGTAGCTTCTTCACAGAAATGTTTGCTACTAGCCATTGTGTTTTTAAAATGGTTACATTAATATGTGTGTGTGTTTGAAGGATGCATCTGTGTTCCAGCATGTGTGGAGGCTAGAATGCAATGTACATCAGCCGATTCTTTCCCTCCTCCATGTGGGTTCCAGGATTGAATTCAGGCAGGTCAGCAGACGCCTCAACAAGCAGCCTTACCTGCGCCATCTCACTGACCCTTACCTAAAGTTTTTTAAAACATTATTTGTATTTCTGACACCTCAGCTGTGTTCTGTTCAGAAAATTACATTTATTTGTAAACTCAGCCAAATCAGTCTGGCATGATCACAATTCCTGTAGTAATAGAGCACACCATTCATTTCTTTTGTTTGTTTTTTGAGACAGGGTTTCTCTGTGTAGCCCTCAATATCCTGGAGTTCTCTCTATAGACCAGGCTAACCTTGAACCATAGATTCAATTGCCTTTGCCTCCTGAGTACTGGGATTAAAGGCATATACCACCCCACCCAGCCACCATTCATGCCTTTGTTGCCTATGCATCGTCTCTTAGATCCTATGGGAAACCCTTGAGTTTGCAATGATTATTAGGTCAATCTAAAGAAATCACACTTTCACTGAATGTGATTACAGGTTTTTTTTTTTTTCTCCACTTTTCTTCTGGTTTTGTGCTTTATTAAGCAGAAAAGTTCATTTTCCTCAAAAGGTGAGGTGCTGTAAAAGTACTATATATAAAAGCAAAGCAATGTAAAAATTGGTGGCTGGGGAGATGGATTGGTTAGTCTTATAAAATGCTTCCTGTGGAGGCATGAGGGCTGGAGTTCAATCTTCAGAGTCCCTGGAAAAGCCAGGCCCAAAGATACAAGCCAGGAATCCCACTGTGAGGAAGAGAGAGAGACAAGAGGAGCCCTGGAGCTGCAGGCCAGCTCGCTCAGCTGAGTCAGTGGGCTCCAGGTCCTGTGAGGGGACCCTGTCTCAGGAAGAGCTGGAGAGGGAGGGAGGGAGACTGCCAGCATTGACCGTGGCCTCCAGATACTACACACACAGGAACATGCACACACGTGTAGTACACATGCAAACACGCCTGCACACACACATACACATTAAAATCCCTCAGCGTTTTTCTGATGAAGAATTTTTTAAAAGACATTTGAAGAAGAGTTAGTAGGAAGAAAAAGGCGTCCAGTGTCACTGTAAGAAAACGACCCACATGAAGCCACACGGACAGTTGGCTGTGGTTCCAGGGTGGGGTGGGAACCCTGAACACATTGCTTTCTATGTTGCAGTCTATTTAACCTCTTGGACTTCATGAAAACTCATAAGGCCCCTCAAATGGACCATTGTTGCAGAAACTACCCACCCTGGACTTATTTTCCATGAAATTAAAACAAGCTCTCCTTTTTCTCTCTTGTAAGAGTAATTACGTTCATTAATAAAACATCACACAAAGAGCTTCATTATCCTTCTCCACTTGCAAGTAGGATGCTAATAGCATTCTGAAGAGAGCACAAGGATTTACTCTCCCCCTTTAATTAAATGCATATCTTTGGACTAATGCTAACTCTAAGGGTAGGAGGAGGGTGGAGGAAAAGGGAACTGTAGGAATGATTATAGTGCAACAGGATAAAATGAACGAGTCTTTCCTTTGCCTTTCTCATCTCAGGTTAGCCTCATTGTCTAAGCACACCTCTAAAATATTTTTTTTTAGAGTGATAAGGTTTTTAAGTATACTGCATGGTGTATTATTTGTAAATGTGTTGGCCACCATCACACCCAACTTAAACCTCATTGTCAGTGTCAGTAGTCACACCCGTACCTTTTCTCTGATGGTTGTCATTGTCTGATTGATTTAACATTGGTCATGAAAACAGTAAATGTGCATTTCCCCAAGACAATTAAGCAAGAACTTATAAGCACCTGTGAATGTTTGTTTGCTGAGTGAAATCCATGCTTGCCTTCTGCCCATTTCAAAACAATCTGTGCATGTGTCCAACAGTCTCAAAGAGAGCTGCAAATCTTGAGGAACCAGACACACATCTGAGTGTGCTCTGGGGAGGGAGGTCCTGCTTCCTGTGGCTTAGGATGCTTGTCACCTGTCACTAAATAGCAATACCAAAAACGGAGAAAATAAATGAGTATCTATATCTTAACATATATAGAACCACAGATTTTTTTTGAATAAACTTTGTCAGCTAGTGTGGTAAAGGAGACATCAGAGACGATTTCTTTTACTTTATAAAACCTTTGCTCTGAACGTCACACAGAACACCTGCTCCTTATATATAACACCTAACAGACCTGTCATCTGCCCAGTGCTGCTTCTGCAAAAACCACAGTGTAGTTTTGGTCAGTCAGCCTTCTGTCAGACCTCAGGCTGCTTCTCTTGGTAAAAGTATGGCTTAGGGCTAATGTGGTAGTTTGTCTACAAACATTGATGTTATGTTGGGTCCTTTAGTGCCTATGACTGTAAGCTCAGAATGGGAGGAACCTGATGAGACTTCAGTTCAGAGCATGTGTGCAGAGATGTGTGTACAGTGTTAGTATTGTTCATCTGTACTCACAGCCAGCTCCTGTTCATAAAGCAGAGCTGGCCGGCTGTCCTGAAAGTCTCACTCACATGCCCACCATGCCCTGTGAACAGCCACTCTCCTGAGTTCATACATCACCATCAGGTTGCTGTTTCTGAATTTGAATTTTATCTCTGCTGTCTTTTACTTAACCTGCTGTTTGTTAAAGTCAGGATGTCGCTTTCTTACAGAGTTCTTTGTATCTGCATCGGCAACACTGCTTCCTTGAATGACATGTTTCCCTGTCTTTTTAGCCCTCCGATGAGGACACAGTTAGCCTCAATGTTCCCATGTCAAACATCATGGAGGAAGAGCAGACCATCAAGGAGGATGCATGCCATCATCTGACCCCAGCTAAAGGTCTGAGAGAGATGGGTGTAGAGAGTGCTTGCTTTGTAGGTTTGGAAACAGGACTTACAGCACCACTTCCAGATGCGGAGATGATAAGTTTACTCTTTGTATCGCACATGCTGTGAGCCACTGTCATGCCCACAGGGACAGATTTCATTTATAGTCCCAAACTGTAAATAGCTTTTCTATCTGTTCTACAACTGGGGAGACCAAGGCTCAGACAGTTTAAATGGCTTTCCTGTGGTTTCACAAGCCGGCTGTGTTCCTCACCGTTAATAGTAGAGCCCTCATCCTGAAGATTATAGGAGAGTCTTTAAATTCATTTTTGAAAAGAAAATATTGATATGATAGATAGGACTTGGGATAACTCTAGCTGCTGCCATAAATAATCTCCAGATCTCAGTGACAGTCCAGATAGACGTTGGTGGTTGGCAGACAACTGCCCTCCAAGCCTTGAATGGCAAACCAGGGACTCCCAGTATCTCCACATCCGTGTGTGTTAAGCTAGAGGGGCAGAACATGGAGGTTCTTAGGGGTGGGAGGTTGTGGGCTGCACCTAGAAGTGTCCATCATTTGTAAGACATGCTTCTTCCATGGTCACGTCTATTACACTTGAGGGTGGGAAGTGTACTTGAGGTATGGGCCTGGGAATCTATTGGTCTATAACCAAGTCAGTTGGTCTCATCCGTCCCCTGTTGGACAGTTAGATTAGGTGACCTCCAAGCTTCTTTGTGACTCATGTTCTTTATCACTAAACACTGTAGCTTGAATGCCTCCTTAATTCTTGTAAGAGCCATACTGTCATAGATGATTATGGCGGTAATTTGATGGCTCTTGTTTGTTCAATAATTTTAAAAGAAAACATTGGAATTTACCATTCATGATTTGTGATAAAGAATGGAGAATATTGTATGAGCAGCGTAGAACTTTATCACTGATAGGTCAAATCCTAGCATGATTACTTTCTGTATATTTTTTGTTAGATTTATTCATTTTATTTTATGTGTGCATGTTTGCCTGCATATATGTCAGCACACCATGTATGGGCCTGATACCCGAAGAGGTCAGAAGATGCCATTGTGTCCCCTGGGACTGGAGATAAGGATGATTGTGAGCCACGGTGTGAGTGCTGAGTATGGAACCCAAACCTGGGTTCTCCATATGAGCAAAGGCACTCTTAACTCCTGAGCCATGCCTCCAGTCCCTTCAGTGTTCTTCTTAATGATCAGAGAGATATTTTAAAGCCACTCAAGCATTTCTATGTTTTCTTTCCCTTCTTCCATTTACGACACTTGTATTTCATTGTTTGTTTGAAACAAGGTCTTCCTACACAGTCTAGGCTGGCCTGGAACTTTCTTCCTGCCACAGCCTCTCCAGTGCTGGGTTGTAGATGAGCACCACCTGAGTCTTAGATTTAGATTATTATTTATTTATTTTTAACATTTTAATGATTTATTTATTCTTACTTTATGTGCATTGGTGTTTTGCCTGCATATATGTCTGTCTAAGGATGTCATATCCCCTAGAATGGAGTTACAGACGGTTGTGAGTTGCCATATGTGTGCTGGGAATTGAACCTGGGTCCTCTGGAAGAGCAGCCAGTGCTCTTAACCACTGAGCCATCTCTCTAGCACCAGAGATTTTAAATTTTAGAGCTTGAGGGTAGCATTAAACATAGAGCCTATGATGGAAACCATACTGACCCAAAAGCATAGCTGACTGCTAATGTATTCATTTATATAAATCTTACAGCAGTATGCAGTATTGGGGGGGCATGTTTGAGACAGATTTTTGAAGTAAAATAATTAATCTGTTCCCAGTAAGCTCCCCCAGCCCCCTTTAAAGGATGCCTGCTTTCTCCTGTTTATTCTTCTGTCTGAAGAGTCCTCTGTGCTGTCTCTTTGCACTGAGCTTGCTGGGACAGAATGAGTTCTATCCAAGGATACTCTTGCTTCTGGAGGGTCTTTCTTGGGGGTGATTTCTATTGTGATAGGATTTGGGGCTCTTGTTCAGTCATGTCCCACATTTTCTTAAGATGATTGGTTGTTTAAGGGCAGAAGTCATGTAATCCCTCAAATGTACATCCAGGGACATATCTGTGGCATGATGCTTCCCATGGAACAGCTGGTCAATGCCTTGAGTTGAACTTAGAATTTGTAATAACTAGCCACATTCTGCTGAGAGCATGAAAACTCTCTTTTATAATTGTTTCAGTTCTTTAAAAACACAAGAAGACATTTAATTCTTTTGTGGGGAGCTAAGCCATAAATCAGCCTTGACTTCTAATATTCAGTTTGGGTCTTGTTTATTTTCTATTTTTTCTTCTCCGTGTTTAATTTTCACCTTACATTCTACAGGGAAGAATAAGTGTGGGTTATTCCTGGACTTCCATAGGGTGTGAGGGAGGGTTTGGAAACAGTCGTCTATGTGTTTAAGGACTTGTGCTTTGTGCTTCTGTCACCAAGAAGTCACACTGTCTTCCTTTCTTTGTGTTTTCCTGATAGGAGAATTTCAGCCAAAGCCTTCCCTTTTGGGTGACACCAACAGCTCAGGACAAGAAAGAGACCAGTTTGCTGATGGAGTGGATGCTCTCCACCCGGGATTTATGAACTATATTAAGGTAAGATTTTGCAGCTCAACTCATTTTCCTCTGCTTGGCCCCTTAAAATTCAGGTTCTAAGATTTCAGTCCACCTTTCCAGTCCATCTTACTGTCTGCTCCTGAAGCCTCCAGCACATCTTCTCAAAGCTCAACTTGTCCATGTCTGTCATTGGGAACTTGCCCCAACCATGCTTGTCTCTGGACTCTGTGTATGTGTGTGTGTGTGTTAGTGTGTGTTACTGTGTGTTAGTGTGCGTGCGTGCGTGCGTGCGTGCGTGCGTGCGTGCGTGCGTGCGCTCGTGCGTGCGTGTGTGTGTGTGTGTGTGTGTGTGTGTGTGTGTGTGTGTGTGTGTTTTCTGATTCAGGAATTGCTCAGCTCCTTCTTCCTCACTGAGCCTCACAAGTTGACAGGTTAACCAGAATGACCATGCTCACCTGCAAAAGCTCAAAATCATTTCATTTTCCTCAGCATGTTTTACGTGAATACTTCTTAGTTTGAGAGCCCAGGCTGAGTACCCTTTAACCAACATCCTTAGAACTAGAAATGTCCCGGAATCCTGGGCTCTTCAGATTTTGGAATGTTCACATAGATGTTACAGAATGAGGATCCATAATCCAAAAATCTGAAATCCAAAATGCTCCAGAAGTGTAAATGCAAAAGTTTATGTGACTCAAAAGGTTTCAGTCCGATGGGCCAGCAAGATGGCTCCTGTATGGATGTCAGAGGACAGCAATGGGAGTATATTCTCCCCTTCCACCATGCGGTTTCCAGGGATTGAACTCAGATCATCAGGCTTAGCGGCAGGCTCTTTGCCCTGCCGAGCCATCTTGCCAGCCTCCCATCCATGTTTTCTGATGATCATTTGATGCTTTGACCCAGCTTAACCAATGTTTTTGGCATTAACTCCAAGGACACCAGGAGGAAGACAAGCTGAACTTTATACTGATTAAGATTCTAGTGTGTTGTAGCCTTCTTCATGCCCTCGAGGTGGAAATAATTTATTTGACAATTCCATAATTAATCCTACTTAGTTTGTGCAATGTGACATTCTAAAACCAGTGATTCTCAACCTTCCTAATGCTGTGACTCTTTGATACAGTTCCTCATGTTGTGGTGACCCCCAACCATAAAATTATTTTTTGTTGCTTCTCCATAACTATAATTTTGTTACTGTTATGAATTATAAGGCAAATAGCTGTGTTTTCTGATGATTTTAGGGGGCCCCTTGTGAAAGCGTCATTTGACCCTAGAGAGTCATGATCCACAGATTGAGAACCATAGGTCTAAAACTGTTACAGACATATACAAAAGGGTAAAACACAAGTCCATACAGTTTCCTCGCTGTTCACCTTCAGAGCTTACTCTCATCCTCTGTCTCCATCCACATTACTTTAGCTGGGCTCATCAGGTCTCTCACTATGATAGTCACAGGCACCACTCCAGCTCCTCCTCAGCAAACACTTGCTGCCCCCCCCCCGTGTGTGTGTGTGTGTGTGTGTGTGTGTGCGTGCACGCGCACTCATGCGGTACAGCCACATAATATACATGCACACATTTTATATTCTGCCACCAGCTATTTTCTTAGAGCACAAATCTGATTATATTACTCTCAGGTTTCTCTCACAAGGTTCTCCCACATTTGACTCCTTTCTGTCATCACCATGGGATAGTGAGAGTCCTGAGACCATAAAAACCGATTTTGTCTTCATTTCTTCAAGAATTTCCCTTAGGTTGAGACTCTAAAGATAGAACACTTGAAAATGTGTGGAATATTCAGACTCCAAGTTCTGAAGGAAATAAAAGTAATTAGTAAAGCATATTGTCCCCTGCATTCAGAGTTCCAGGATGCCAAGGACCCTGGAAATGGATGCTGTAAGGGTGGATTCCGTGGACAGATACTCAAGGAGTATGCATGTGTTAGCCTCGACTTCTACTTTGTAGCCTTATACCTAAGGACCAATGAGTGTGCTGTACTGCCCAGCACATTGACCATTGAAAGCTCTGTATTTTATATAATCCTTTCCTATTTCCAGAATTGGCATCTTGTGCTTTTGTTATTCTGGTCAGTTTCTATCACTCATAATAATAGTTTGATAGAATGAAACCACTATGCATATTAAATTATCCAATACCTAACCATTCTGCTTAGAGAAAATACCAACAGATTTCTGAGAGCCTTTGGTTACATTCTTGTCAGTCAGTTCAAAGCTTTGTTTTGTCTCTGTTTCTTTTTAGAGACTCTTGGCTCAGTGTCATCAGGCATGCCTTAATGGTGGAGATAGGTTTTGAGAAATATGTTGTTATAGAATGTCATCACTGTGCCCTAACCATCCTCAGATGGCTACAGCATCATTAGCAACATAACCTTACGTACAACTGCCTGTTACTGGTTTATTAGTACTGAATTCACTATCACTATCATTTGTACCTGAATAAAACTTATCTCACATGTCCTTAATGAGGTACTTTGTAGTTGTCTTAGAAGGATTAGGCAGCATCTCAGCATTATATTTGGGGTCCATTTTGAACTGTGAAATCATTGTTTTTAAAGACACAAAAATAGGAAAATGTGCCCTGAGTGGACCAACAGCAATGATTGTTCAGTTTATGCTATGAGAATTAGAGCCAGAAGGCAGAGCACTCTTTATCCTGCCTCACCTGGAGTCCTGCATGCTTTAGTTTCATGTTTGTCAATCACTGTGTGTGTGTGTGCGTGTGCGTGTGCGTGTGCGTGTGCGTGTGCCTGTGCCTGTGCCTGTGCCTGTGCCTGTGCCTGTGTCTGTGTCTGTGTCTGTGTGTTACTCAGAAGTACCCCAACCACTGCTTTGGAGACTACAGGTGAATTTTTGCTTAGTGAGCCAGTTCTTGAATTCTGCCGGATTTGCTAAAACAAACAAACAACCCCCCCCAAAAAACCCTAAAAACAATAATAATAATAATAATAAAAAACCTCAGCAAGCTAATGTCAGCCTGTTCTGAAGGAAAAACTAAAACCCTGTCTCCACTAGTTGAAACCTAGAGGAACTAAGTAAGACGTTTCTTTGGATGTGACAGCTGGAAGTCTGTTTTCATGGATTTCACTGTCATTTGCAGAGTGACACAAATTAGTTCATATGTTGATTGTTAAACTGTGAAAGTACAGCCGATACAGTAAAAGTCTGAGTGGTTTTTTTGAAACTTGAGGGAAAGTCTGGTCCTAAAGACACCAAAACCAATGGTGATGTGCCCCTACATGCTACAGTCCGGTGTTCTTTTCCTAATAGGGAGATGTGCCCACTGCAGGGTGGCTCCCTGCCAGTGTTGGCCCAGCTAGGACATTTTCCTTGTCTGAGCAGAAAGTCCAAGGAAACACATGGGAGGCTCACAGTGGACACAGCTTTCCCAGGGTTCACTTGCACCAGAGAGCGCTGGTGTGCGAGGCTCAGGGAAACATTTGTGGGGCCTCTGAATTTGTTCACATGAGTCTATTGGATTCAGTATAGGGCCCTTTTCTATTGTTAAATACTAGTAAGCTGAATTAAAGAAGGAACTCAGGTAAACTTTATGGTTTTTTAAATCTTTAATTTTCTAAGGGTTTTTTGCTTTTGTTTTTGAGTCAAGTTTTCTCTGTAACAGCTCTGGCTATCCAGGAGCTCCTCCTTCCTCTGCCTCCCTGAGCTCTGGGATTAAAGGCATACACTACCAACACCCAACTAATTTCCTAGCTATTAATTGTGGTGTAAAATACATACAAAAGTAAAATCTTTGAGTTGTAAAAATGTTTGAGGCAAGGTCTGGTATATAGCTCAGGTTGACGTTGAACTCACAAACCTACTGCCTTATTTGACCTCCCAAATGCTGAAGTACAAGTGTACACTACCTCTGCCCCATCCCAATGGATCCTCTTAGCCACAGTTCAGTGTTACAGTGCAGTCTGTGTTAAGTACATACATGTTGTTACAGTGTTCTGTTACTTCCAAAACCCTTCGGAACTGAGATTGTGTACCTACCAAATGTGTCCCATTCTGTCTCCTCTCTCTGACAGTCTCAATGAATTTGACTTCTGTAAGTACCTCACATGGGTAAATCATGCAGACTCTGTGTGTGTGTGTGTGTGTGTGTGTGTGTGTGTGTGTGTGTGTGTGTGTGATTTCATATCTGAGGTTTTCTGTATGTATTGTAAAGAATATACCATTATATAGCCATAGCATATCAACAGTACCTGGTTTGTTTCGCCTTTTGGCTCTTGTGAATGACACTACCGTGGCTATGGGTTGGGACCACATTTAACTCTTCATTGCACATCCCATGTGTTCTGCCTGTAGGACCAGGTGGGGGACTGTGAAGAGCTATTGCGGATAGAAGAGGATGCTCACTGGCACATGGAGGGGCTGTGAGTTTCTGGGCCGGGTCATGGGTCACCACTCCTCTTCAGGCACACTGGCAGTCATGTCCTGATAGATTTTGAACCACTTTTCCTTGGGCAAGCCTAAAATCTTCCCAGGCATACTGATAAGAACTTGCCAGTTTTCCTGTGACTCTTGTTACAGTACTGGGCCGTACACCGCCTCTTCCTTTGTGCTCTTACAAGGGAATAACACATAGACTAGGTGACATGAAAGTTTGTTTAGCTTGCAGTTACAGGGGCTCAGAAGTCTGAGATCAAGGGACTGTGTCTAGTGAGAAGCTGTGCCATGGAAAGAGAGAGTGTGAGACGAACTAAGCTCCTGTGGATAAGGAGCCATCTCCTGCAAAAATGGCACTCATTGCACTCCTCAGGGGCCCTAGATTCCCTCATGAAGGTGCCATGCCTAACACTGCTTCCTTTGGCATTGGGTTTTCCTGCATAAAGTTTGGAAGGTATATTCAAACCACTGCACAGCACAAAGTTATACTTCTTTGTTGGCCTTGAGTTGTATCTGACTCAATATCATCATTAAAAATGTAATAGCAAGAATGTCTTCTACTCTCCTTCCATTTTGTTTGAAGAAACAATGGTTAGAACGAATATCAGGAGATCCAATCCTTTCAACCAGATCTTCTGGTTCAAATCTTTGAAAAGCATTTCATCGTCCTGGTTGCCAGTCTAATAACTGCCATAACTAACATATGTTAAATTTGGCATGCATGGCACTGTTTTATTTCATAGGCCAAAGCTCAGTTCATCCTTTCAGCAGCCCTATAAGCTCTGTTGGCTGCCATATTGCAGATGATAAAATCAAGGCACAGATTGATGATGCTCTTGTCTCCAAGGCTACAGAAGGCTAACATTTGACTCTGAGGAATCTGGTACAAATGAATATCTATTTTGCTCTACTGTATATAAAGATTTATTTGGCAGGATCACTAGAGGAGCAGATAAGTGTCTCACCAGAAAATGAGTCTCTTCCAGGAAGTTGACTTGGTACCTATAGCGTAGGGTAGATGTTTGCTCATAGGCTTTTTGCTTTCTATAGTCTGGATTATTTTTTCCTTAAAAAGGACTGGTGCAATTGTTAAAATGTTCTCTACTGGTAGGAACTCATTGGCCTACATTGTGTGGCAAGAGCAGCCAACTGTGATCAAATTTCTCTTGCTGGGAAGTTCCATTTTTAGTTTCCCATCTTTTCCCAACCCTGGCTATAAAGTCAGGATCATTTGTAGAGCTTCCTAGAAGGTCTGTCTTTACAGGAGGTAGGATTTGCTCAGGTCCGTTGGGCCTGGTGTGTTTTTTAAGCTCCATAATTGGTTTTCCTGCATTAAAGAATCAGGGTTGGAGCCAGTCTCCCACACTGAGCCCCTTGCACCATAAAAGTGATAATGCCCAGCCGTGCTATGGAGCCAGAGTTGGAAGCCTCAGAACTGATACAGCTCCACTCAGGGGAGCCCTTCCAGCAAATCTTACAGAACTTAAAGTGTGGAGCCACACCAACCTTGTCCATTGCCTGACTGGCCATGAGAGCAGGTAAAGGCCTGCAAGTCTAGAATTGAACTGGACTTTCTCTGCCCAGATTCTTCTCCCATCTCCATAGGACCCGACCTGCAGGATACTGACATGCCTTCATTACAGTATTGAGTTTGTCTAAGTCAATTTTTAGGAGGTTGGTGGGTTTTGCCAGGAGGTGCTTCAGATGCTTTGGTAGTTACTCTGTACTCATACTTGGTTTTGTGTTACAGACTAGAGTCATCCAAAGATCAGGATTTGGATATATCGATGATTGAGCAGCTGAGAGAAGCAGAAGGTTTGCTTCAGGATCCCAATGGGTATGCATGTGTATTTCTGGCCCGGGTCTTGTATGTAAATGAAGCATACTAAGTTACTGAGGACATTACTTTACTCTAAAATATTTATACCCAGTTTGGTCTTGATGTAAGCATTAATAAAGCGAAGTCATTTAATTGCCCATTCCCCAAGATTCAAAAGTAGAATAGTCAGATTTTTGTAGCAAGTAAGGAAAGTTCCTACCTTCTCAGTCTTTAACAATTGGTCCTTACCTCTTGTGATATTCATATGGGATGATTGGGATCATTTACAGGAAATAGGAATATGATAGAAGTACAAAAACATAGACAAATTCTACTTACAATGGAAATTTAAAACTTTGGTGTATTTCTGGTAGTGCCAGATATATGATAATCAGCCAATATATTTCTAAAGATTTGGGTTGTAGATTCCTTTTTAAATTTGAGTTGGACTTGTGTGTGTGTGTGTGTTCCTTAGATAATGTAATTTCCACAGACAAAGCTCCTTTTTAGTTCAACAGTTTCCGATGTGAGACACTAACTACACGACCACTATAGAATAGACCCAAACCTCATCTCTGATCATCTGAATTGTTCAGGAGCCCTAGGAATGTGAATGCGATGGGGTTTTACTGTGAACCTGGCTATTACACACACACACATATCACTTCTAGCTGGGATTTATAAACAAAGCGGTTCATGAATCCAGGTAAAACTATCCTCAGTGTCATCTGGCCCTGAAAGAATAGTGGCATGTCTGTCTGTGTGTGATTGGAAATCTTTAGCAAATGATCAAAAATCATCTAAAGTTTTTGAAATTACACCTACTGTGTATGTGTAAGAGAGGGAGCAAGAGTGGGTGCGAGTGAGCGAGATTGCACAATCTACAGCATGTGTATAGACAGATACAGGACAACTTGAAGGAGTCTGTTCTCCTTCCATCACGAGGGTCTCGGGATTGGACTCGGGTTGGACTTGGCTGGGAGCATCTTTCCCCAGTGAACCATTTTGCTTGTGTGTGTGCATGCGTGCGTACAAAAAATTAGGAAGTGGCATGGCTGATGCTATCAGCAGACTTTGAATCACCTGGAAACTGGTTTTGACCCAGCTCCGGCATCTGAATCCCATTTCTTCATCTATAAGATGGGCCTACAAAGTAAAGTACCCACTTGCCTCTTAGGGTTGTAAGGATTTGAAATAATACCCAAACATTTGTAATAAAACTAACTTGTAAAACATTCCAAAAGTCACCTAATAGTAATATGTAAGCAATGTTTAAAAATATGTGGACCTTTCAAATGACTTGTGAGAATTTACCTTAAGGAACGAAGGGACAGGAACTACTGTTTCTGTTGATGAGGGTTGGATATTTTTAACAGAAACATTTAGAAAAAAGGAAACGAACCATTTGGGGGGGGGACTTTATGTATTATGGCCATTGCTAAATTAGAATGCCATGTGGTCCATAACATTTTTGTTAAGGTTACCATTGATGCTGAAGTGATCCTTATTTAGTACTAACTTCTAAAAAGTTCAATTTAAAAATGCATAGTCCAATTATAGATACAGAATTGGGTTCCAGTTGCATAACAGACTTAAACAATTCTTGAATGAAATATACTAAAATGGGTATTTTGTTGTGGCTCCTACCCTGTGTTCAACACTCAGTAGATTCTCAGTGGTCAGTTCTGAGTTGGTCCTTGGCGGCCTACATACACATGGACAGTGAGAAGAGGAGGGCAGAGAACCAGCTCAGGGTTGGGAAAGACCTGGAGCTGCTGGTGCCTCATCATCTGATGGAGAGACTATGGTGGGAGGCGTGGCCAGCTGAGGCGTGAGGTGCTGGCTTCAGTTGAGCATGTGCTGAACAGTTCTGCCAGTGGAACAGCCATCGGGCTGCTGCATGGCATTGTCGGGCTGAGAACCAGGGCTGTGAAAGTCAGGTTCAGATGGTGCTATGTAAGGGGCTGAGGGGCAGAGGGCAGGCACGAGGAAGGAAGGGAGTAGAAACCAGAGTGGAGAGTTGAAGGGCCGCTGTCACAGGGAGAGGACTCCAGTTTTCTATATTTTAATGTCTTTTAAATCTACTAGTAAATTCTTTTTTTAAAGTCTGACTTGTTAGTGGGTGATCTTCAAGGCAAAAGGAAAAGGAAAAAAAAAGTAGGTCCTAGTTTTGTGGAAATAGCTGTGTCCTGCTGTGTGGCTTAGGACCCAGTCATAAGACAAAGCAGCTGGGAGGAAATGTTACAGTTTCCTCCTCGGTTGGAAAGTAGGTTGAGTGGGGATCCTTTAGACCAGTGGTTCTCAACCTGAGGGTTGTGATCCTTTGAGAGGCCTCTAAGGACCCTTCACAGGGTCACCTAAGACAATCTGCATATCAGATATTTGCATTATAATTTGTAACAGTAGCAAAATTACAGTTATGGAGTAACAATGAAAACAGTTTTACCACAACATGAGGAACTGTATTAAAGGGTCACAGCATTAGGAAGGTTGAGAACCACTGAGTTAGACCAACTCCTCACAACTCTGGAGTACATGAGAGAAGACAAGTTGTTGGGCATGCTCAGCATGCAGAATGGCAGGTGTGTGCAACACTGTAGAACATCATGACAGATTTCCAAGTGATACCCAACTGATGTCTTTGTCAAGGGCTATTTTATGTGGGACACTTCTTTTCCACTCCTTTGGCTAATTCATATGTTTTTTTTATTTTTAAACAATTGGAATAAATTGGACAAGCTTGATTTCTATGATAATATTCATGTGATCTGATGGATTCTTAATTTTTAAGTGTAGCAGTATGCATCAGAAAGACTTCACCATAAGAACTAGATATCCATCAGTGCTGTTGTGTTAATGCTTTAGCAACTTGGTTTTTGTCTGTAAATGTGATATCCTAGGTAAATTCAGTTGTATGTCACCCTTGAAAATACTGTGGTATTTTGTACATAACTTGGATTTCACAGCAAGTAACTGATAGAAAGCTGTGTTGGGAAAGCAACATGTCTTTGGAAAGCCTTTCTCTTAATCTTGAAGACAAGTTTTGCTTATCAGTTAAGTGTTTAAAGTACATTGGGCCGGTAGAGTTTATTATTGGAAGTTTAATGATTTTACTGCTGTCTGTTTCCCTCCTCTTTAGTCTGAGCACTGACATTACAGAGAGGAGTATTTTGAGCCTGTACCCCATGGGCTCAGCAGAAGGCTTAGAATTACCTGACCCTACGTTCAAGTATGTTCACCTTTCATAATTAAGTGTATTTTCTGTTTTTACAATAATGCGTTGGTATTTCAAAATCTGCTGTCTCTTTTTCCTTCCCGATTTCCTACAGTGGTCAGATGCAGCTGGAGACGTCTCCAGAGTGTGAGGTAAGGACAGCTTGGCATCGCCTTGTGGGAGGACAGCAGTAGCATTTGTTTATGTCATGTGTTTACCCATTTCCTGCTTTTATTGTCCACTTCTGTTGATCCATTGTCTTCCCTCACCTTCCCTGAAAGATGAGAGTTGGCTGATTCTGTTAGATTCTCTACGTTTCTTTGCCATGATAGACTCACTGGGTCAGGCAGTGGCCACTAAGATGTGTAGAAAGCCTGTGCTGGGTTAGAAATGGGAGGGAGGCCCATTTGATGCAGACATTAGAGCTGAGAAAAAAGTCTGGCCAAATAAAGGACCTCGATGGTATATTCAAGTGAATTGAAGAAGTCCTATGTGAAAAGCCAGGCATGGCAGCCTGTGCCTATAATCTCAGTGGTACAAGATGGAGACAGGAACTTATCTAGGGATCACTGGTTAGCCAGCCTAGCTGAATTGGTAAAGCCCCAGGTTCAGGTAGAGCAGTGGTTCTCAACCTTCCTCATACTGTGACCCCTTAATACAGTTCCTCATGTTGTGGTGACCCCAACCATGGTATTATTTTTATTGCTACTTCATAGCTATAGTTTTGCTACTGTTATGAATTATAAGGTAAATATCTGGCATGCAGGATATCTGTCATGTGATCCCTGTGACAGGGACGTTTGATGCTCAAAGGGGTTGCAACCCACAGGTTGAGAGCCACAGAGCTAGAGATTCCCACTCAAAAAATAAGTTGGTGGAGAGTGATTGAGAAAGACTCCAGATGTTGACACCAGGCTTCCACATTTGTGTGCACGTAGGTACAAGCACAGACACAAAAGAATATTATAATGAGAGGCTGGTGGGAATAGTGGGGCAGGATTTGGTAGAGTTACATGGAAAGAAATATGGGTAGAGAAAACATTTTTTTTGGCATAAAACTAGGAATGATCCTAGAGAAAGCTTATCCCAGTTGTGGAAAGATAGGTTTGAACTGGTAGCTTGGGAGTTATATTCTATTTTTTCTATTGCTATGACAAAACACCATGATCAGGGTATAGAAAAGAAAATGTCTAATTTGGGGCCCCCAATGCTTAGAGTCTGTGATCATCATGGCAAGGACCATGGTAGTAGGCAGACAGACAGGCACGGCGGTGATAGAGCAATGGCCGAGAGCTCACATCTCAATCCACAAGCTAGAGTCAGATAGATAGAGAAGGAGGGAGGGAGGTGGGGGAGAGAAGGGGAGGAGAGAGGAAGAGAGATAGGGAGGGGAGGGGGAGAGAGAGGGGGGATAGAGAGAGTGCACTAGCTAGGAATGGCATGGGCTTTGGACAACTCAAAGCCTGCTTCCACTGATATGCCTCCTCCAACAAGGTCACATCTCCTAATCTTTGCCAAAGAGTTTCACAAACTGGGAACTAAGCATTCAAATCTCTGGGCCCATGGGGGCCATACTCATCCCAACCACTCTATTTTACTCCTTGGGCCCCATACACTGTGGCCCTATCATCATCCAAAATGCATTTATTCCAACTTAAAAAGTCCCCATAGTCTTTTACAGTTTCAAAGTCTCTTCTGAGACCCAAGGCAACCTCTTAAATGTAACCACTTGAAAATAAATCAAATTGCATAATCTCAATATGCAATGGTACAGAATATACATTACCATTCCAAAAAGGCAGAATGAGGTCATAGGGGAGAAAGAGGATCAAAAACAAACAAACAAGCAAGCAAAAACAAAAAACAGCAGGGCAAACTTCAAACCCTGTAATTCCATGTCGATGTCAAAGAGCTTAGATGACTCTGCGCTTCCAGCTTTCTTGACTGCAACACACTTCTCTCTTGGGTTGGTTCCATTCTCTGAATGCAGCTCTCTCTGGTAAACAGACCATGGTTTTGGCACCTCCAGCATCCTGGGGTCTCCAGCGCAATCTATGCTTCACATTCATGGCTTCATGCAGTGGCCTTTTAGAATTTCCATGCAGGGACTTCCCTGCCATACACTTGACCCCAGAAGGTCTCTTTAACCATGTAACCGTGGTTCTCAACCTTCCTAATGCTGCAAGCCATTAACAACAGTTCCTCATGTTGTGGTGACCCCAACCATAAAAGTATTTTGCTGTTACTTCATAACTGTAATTTTGCTAGTTATGAATTATAATGTAAATATCTGATATGCAGGGTAGCTGAGAACCACTGCCATAGAGGAAGATTCCACAGCCCTTCTACTCCTAGATCCTTTATGACTTTAAACCAGACCACATGGCCGATGCTGCCAAATACAACTGTCCTCCTTGGATGGAGCCTGACTCCCTCCTTGAATTATATTTACATAAGCTTCAATTTGTTGCTTTTTTTAGGATCAGAAAAAAATTTCTGGGCCCTTTTCCAGACTTTTCGGACTATCTAGGAGGAGTCTTGCTCCAAGGGCACCACTCCCTTTGCTCTACTTGGCATCAAGCGTCTCCTGGTGTCTTTTAGAACAAGGCTGAGCTCCAGTGTTGAGTTTCCAGGTGCTCTTTTTCTTCTCAAGCCTTACATGTTGAATTCCTTTTTGTCCTGCTTGATACTTTTCATTATAGAGTTGCATAAGAGTTTTATTACCAACAACTACACAATTGAATAAATATGAGGCTGTCTTCAGATATCCTCTGCCAAAGAAATTAGTCCCAAACTTTTCAATTTAACATCAGGCAGATTCTTCTTAGGGTAAGGCACAAAGCAGCCACATTCTTTGCCAAAATATCACAAAAAATGTGTTCTAGCCCAGCTGCCAATATTGTTCTTCTCAGAAACTGCCTGGGCTTGGTCTCCATAGTAAAATTGCTCTTAGCACTGCTGTCTTCCAAGCTCCTCCTTGGATGGTCCTGCTAAGCCATACTTACATCATTCAACTGATTTCGTAGTTCAAAGTCTTCCACATTGCTCTGAAAATCAGCATGGTCTGGCCTGTCACAGCAATAGCCCACTCCTGGTACCAACTTCTGGCTGCCTTTTTATTTCTGTGACAAAACCCCATGACCAAGGCAACTTATAAAAAGAAAATGTTTAATTTGGGGCTCATGGTTCCAGAGGGTCAGAGTCCTTGACCGTCATGGTGGGGAGCATGGCAGCAGGCATGGTGCTGGAGCAGAAGCTGAGAGCTCACAATTCAAGTTCACAAGCAGGAGACAGAAGGAGCTAACTGGTGGGAGTAGTGTGGACTTTTGAAACCACAAAGCCTGCTTCCAGAGACATAGCTCCTCCAATGAGATCATACCTCCTTAATCCTTCCTAAACAGTTCCAGCAACTGGGGATTAAGTACCTGTATATATGAGCCTATGGGGTTCATTCTCACTCAGACCACCACACAGCCTATTACAATCTATTTCACTCCTCCTAGTGAGTGGGTTTAAGATGGCTACTTGAAATGCTGGAGCTGCCTGCACATGTACTATGAAATAATAAAGCAGCTTCACACTCAACGTGTCTGTGCACAAGAAATGAGGAAAAAAGAAAGGTAAAGGAAAGAACCGGGCTTGCAGAGAGTATGGTTACAATGTTTCGGCAGGGACTAGTGTTTATATTACATAGCTGCCCTGTCTCCGAATTGCTAACTCTGTGCAACTTAATTAACCTCTCTAAACTTTACTTTTATTTTTGGTAAATTTCAGTCTAATAATTGCTATTTACAGAGAAAATGAAAGGATTCAGGAGAAATCTCACAGCAGTGGGCACATAAATGCTAGCTGTTACTCTCTTGTTCTATTGTTGTTATCAGTGTGATCTTCGGACAGAATTACAGTGCCACCTTTGCAAATGAACCAGAACTGAACATCAGGGGACTTTTATTTGCTGGTGGCCTTGTGCTGGTTTCTTACGTTCTCTGTGTGAGACTGAGTTTGCCTCTCTGCCAACTCACTTTTTAAAAGATTTTTTTATGTGTATGAGTGTTTTACTCATGTGTATGCACCACATAGATGCCTAGTGCCCACAGAGATCAGAAGAGGGCGTCACATTCCCCTGGAACTGGAGTTATAGATGATTGTAAGTTGCCACGTGCGTCCTAGAATTCAAACCTAGGTCCTTTGAAAGAAGAAGTGCTCTTACCCTGAGCTGTCTTTCCAGCCCCTCCCTGTAGACTCACTTTTTAAAAAAGTTTCACATTTAGAAATATTTTTAACTGCAAAAAGATTGTAAAAATAAATTGCAGGCTCTATAAACATTATGAAAATATTATAGTCTTCCACTTAGATTTTCTAGTTATGGAATATTGTTAGTATGCAAATCCAAGATGTTATAAAACTTGAAACTCTTTTTATCAGTACACCACAAGTATAAATTTCTGCACTTGACCTTATGAAAGAGGTCAAAGTGAAAACACAGGTGCGCTTGAAAACACAGAATAAAATCCCCTCAGACCATGTGCATAAGGCACACATGAAATGAAAACATCTGTTTAGATTAGGGTCCTATTCCCAAGCTCCTATAATGTATTTGCAAATAGTTCAAACCCCAGACTTCTGAGGTGCAAATACTTCTAGTCCCTTGCTGTTGGACAGGGAGATTCAAGCTGATGTTTTCCCTTGTCATTTCAGGGTTACATTGTGTACACTTGGGGATTTCTCTTCTGTAGACACATTGCCTCTTCCACTTTGTACACATATGCTGATTAGCTTTTTCTCCTGTCATCAGCCTTCCAGATTCCAGAGATACCGTTGGTCTCAAATAGGTCTCTGAGCATTCCTGTCCTTCGATGGGGGCTTCAGCCTAGTGATAGGCTTTGCATTTGGTTGCCGGATCCCTCTGGTGTCTATCATCTCCTCTGCTTTGCAGCATTTTGGAGAATGATGATTCTATGATGTTGAAACTGTGGAGAATACAGGCCTCTTCTGTTTTGGTGTTTTGAAATAGAATATCATGTAGCCCAGGCTGTTCTAGAACCCTGATAGTTCATAAGACAACCTTGAACTCCCCCATGTCTGGGACTATAGACATGTGCCACCCACCATAGCACATGCTAGGCCTTTTCTTTTGTAGATAGGTTTTAATGTATCCCAAGCTGGCCTCAAACTCACAGTGTAGCAGATGGTGATTTTGAACTTCTGTCCATTCTGCCTTTGCCTCTGGAGTGTTAGGGTTATAGGTGTGCACCTATATAGTGGGGAGGATTGAACCCAGGACCCTGTGCATGCTAGGCCAATGCTCTACCAACTGATCCACATTTCCAGAGCCTAACCCTTCCTCTTTCTAATGGAATGTTCTTCCTCTGGTGTTTGTCTGACATTTCCTCATGATTGAGATTCTGCATTCTCATTTTGGATATTGCCTAGGTGCTGCTGTGTGCTCTTCCCAGGCCATCGGATTTAGGGGACTCTCCATGTCTTTCTTGCTCCCATTGCTCATATCCATTCGAACACTCAATTGTTGTCTAACCCCATTTCATCACTGTATTATTATTTCATTTTCCTCTGTGACCAATGAGAAGTCTGTGAAGAGGTACTTAAGCTCCCTATGACTCTCCTGCTGCATGGCTTCAGGGTGAGGAGGACACAAGACTTCTAAACAAAAAGTAGCCTCACTGCAGCTCCAGGACACAATTCTAACATTGTGACCCTATTCAAAAGCACTTACTCCTGATTTGGGGGGAAAGGAGGCTTTGTTGGGTACCAGGTCATATGCTTCGGAGTCTGTGTGCCTTATCAACACAGGTGCTTTTTGACTTATAATGGATTTTTGTTCCCAGTAAACTACTGCTAAGTTAAAAACAATGTTACCTTGAAAATGCATTTAAGCTACATACCCTAGTGAGCACTGTTGCTTTGCCTAGCCTCCTGCTAATGGGTTTAGAGCACCTATGCTAGCTTGCAGTGAGGTAAAATCATTTAATGTAATGGCAACTTTATAATAAAATCTGAAGTAATTGATAGACTGCTGTACTGAAAGCATTCAGTAAATGGCATGGGAGCATACACCAGTATCACCAGCATTCAGGAGGCAGAGTCAGGAGGATCAGGAGTTCAGTGGTGAATTTTACTACATGACAAGTTTGAGGCAGGCCAGGGCTCTGTGAAACCCTGTCAGAAAGAAAGAAAGAAAGAAAGAAAGAAAGAAAGAAAGAAAGAAAGAAAGAAAGAAAGAAAGAAAGAAAGAAAGAAAGAAAGAAAGGAAAGAGAGAGAAAGAAAAAGAAAAAAAGAGAAACAAACAAAATGGTGATGGTTGGATTGGTGCATTTTTACACAGGAGTAAGACAGAAATTTTCATGAAGTCAGGACTTTCTACTTCCATCTCTTCAATAAGTATTCTCTTGGCACTACTGTGTGTCACCACGGAAACTTCAAAGAACACAAGGGTCCTACTCTTCGCTGTATGTATTCCAGATGACTATTAAGAAATGCAGGAGTTAGCATGACCCATTCATGATGCAGGACATGAAATTCAAGGTTGAGTGACTGGCTGGATCAGTTACCTTGGTAATAGGTAGGTCCAGCTATTTTATCACACTGTGTTGCCTCCCCATTGTATTCAGTCTTGTTACAGTCCAAACTTTAGCAAGGCCCAGTTGCATCATACCTTTCCTTAAAAGCTTGTCTTGGCAGAAGGCGAGAAGCCCAGCACACTTGTGAGCTCATGAGCAATGCTTCCAGGAATATGGAAAGAGTTTGGAAAAGACAGAGGAGGATGGACCTGTACTAAATATAGACTGAGCCCAGTTCACGATTCTGTCTGTATCTAATTTCTTTTGGCATCTCTGCACAAAGCCAGGTGCTGAAGTCTGGTAACATCCAAGCAGCAGCCACACATTCTCCTCCAGGGTGAACTTCCTGCTTTGGCCAGGCCGAGGCAGGCCCAGATGACTGTAAAGTGCAGCCTATTTGGCTGCAGATGGTGCATACCTATAATTCTCACACCGAGGCAGGAGGATTCCAAGTGCAAGGTGAGCCTGGACTATATAGTGAGTCCCTGTCTCAAAACCAAATTTACCTGTTTCCAAGATTGCCAGAGCTTCTAGGGGTCAAAGATTCCTGAACTCATCTCCATTCAGCTTACAGTGATCTTTTGGGTTTATTTTGCTTTTCGAGACAGGGTTTCTCTGTATCACTTTGGAGTCTGTCCTGGAACTCGCTCTGTAAACCAGGCTGGCCTCAAACTCACAGAGATTGCCTCCTGAGTGGTAGGATTAAAGGCATGCACCACAATGCCCCCACTCTGGCATACAGTACTCTTGGCTATTTTAGTATGTTGTGAGCTGGTTTTTCTTTGCTTCAGAGAGTAGCTGTGTTTGGCATAAGGCATTATTGTCTTCCTCCTCAAGGCAGCTCTGGGTCCATGACAGGCAGGTTTCTGTGACTTCCAAAAGGAAGGGATATGTCCTTTGATTCGAAAAAGGAAGTCATGAGATGAAGGACAAGGAAGTAAGTGGTGGCTTCTTGAGGCCACTGGTCCTGCGTCTGAGGGCTCACTTGTTATTCGGTTACATGTCTACACCCCCTTTCACCAGACCCCCATCAGTTTGCCAGTGTTTGTTGCCTACACATGCTGGGCATAGCCTTTTTGGTGTTGAGGACTGGAGTGTGAGGCTTGTGAGGTAGCAAAATTGTTGAGTATTTAAAAGATGTTGATGTTGAAAATATTCCAAGAAGAATATGGTGTGGTTTTCTGTCCCACATCTGTTTTCTTTATTATTCAGGAAAGGATAGTGAGTGTGACAAGAGGAAGGACACTTAGTTTGTGTCCACTTTGGATACGGACCTGGAGTGAGGTGGCCTGGGAGGACTTAGTGCAATGTGTAACCGTGGCTGAGAGGTGTGAGGCAAGTCTTGTAGAGGGGTCTGTTTGCCTTCACTCATGTCATCTTCCTTAAACAGTACTGCAGAAGACTGGCCACGTGAAATTGGGTAGCATGAGCATCCATCCAGTAAGAATGCTCCTTACAGGCTGGCAGAAATAGGATTGAAGAGAGGAGGATTTTGAGGGAACATTCGTGAAAACTGAAAGAAGTCCCTTAAAGTGTAGGCATGATACTCCTTGGTGGAGGTTCTCACAAAGACCCTTAATTGGATAGGGACATGAGTGGCATCTTACTCTGCATGTGTTTTCACTTGGGTTCATGTAAATCGGGTATTTTTTATTAACACTCCTCAACAGAATGGTCATCTTAGATTTATGCTTTTATGGTGGCATGTCTGAAGGTATGATTACCTATCCCTAAACTTTTTATGTATTAGTGATCACATGTAAGCCATGCTTGGTTCCCTAGTGCTTCTCCTTATCAGTGATTGATTGTCACAGCAAACTGATATTAAACTGGTCAAAGAAAGATGCTTTTCAAGGTTACTTAGGGTTCAGGCATGTATGCTTACTGAAGCTCCCAATGTGCTTCTGTATATTTTTGAACTACTGGCTTGGACCATTTCTAAAAACCCATAATTAAAATGGAGAAGGGAGCCAGCAGGCAGTTAGGTAACTCGGGCAGGTAAGATGTGTTCACAGGCCGGGCGTTGGTGGCGCACGCCTTTAATCCCAGCACTTGGGAGGCAGAGGCAGGCGGATCTCTGTGAGTTGTTGAGAGCAGCCTGGCCTACAAGAGCTAGTTCCAGGACAGCCTACAAAGCCACAGAAAAGATGTGTTCCCAGGTCCTTGGGGAGGGTCCCCATGCTGGGGCTCTCATCTCAATCTCTGCTATCCTCCAGTGCTTTTTTCCCTATGAATACAGCTGAGTAGTTTTAGAAAATAGCATAACCTTCTTCACTACTTAACACACGAATTAATTCAAAATTTGCCAGTGTGTGCTTCTGGGGCCAAGAATGTGATGGAAGTAAGAAAGATGCAGTCCTTGCCTCCTCTTTCTCACAGTCTAATGGAATTTCTGCATTTGTCTCTTCCTTAAGGTGCAAAATGATCTAATGATACAGAGTAACGGGAGCCAGTATTCTCCAAATGAGGTAAGATCCCTGAGAACTAGCGGAAGCTGAGGTTTTCCATGAAGACTGCACTGCAATGAATAGTCTATAGACTGCACTGGATGAATGAGTTAATGGAGCCTCTTTGGGCTCTTTCATTAGTTGTCACTCACTGTCACAAATTCACTTGGCTCTCTATGTAATTATAGATTAATGAGAAATGGTTTTTCAAAGCTAGGTATGGGGATGTCTTTATGGAAAATCACTCAAGGAGATGACATTTACTCCTTTTTAGCTATGATGGGTCAGCATGCAGTTTCTGTGTAGATGAGCTGTCTGATAAGCATTAACTGTTTCATCTCTCCATGTGAGAGAGGCTCCCTTAGGTGTGCCCTTTGAGATGCCTGCACACATGCGTTTAGCTATGTCGGATGACCATAGTGGGTCACCAGTCACCAGTGTTCTGGTAGTGACGAAATACTTTGATAGGGAGCAAATAAAAAATTTGATGCAACAACAAAAACAGTCACAGTAACACAATTTACTAGGTGCTTGAGAAAACATTCTGCTGGCTACTTCTTAAAGCATTTCCACAGAATATTTATCTATTTATTTATTTATTTATTTATTTATTTATCTATCTATTTATTTTTATCTGCATTGGTGTTCCACCTGCATGTGTGTTTATGTGATGTCAGATCCCCTGGAACTGGAGTTACAGTTTTAAACTGTCATGTGTGTGCTGGGGATTGAACCCAGGTCCTCTGGAAAAGCGGCCACTGCTCTTAACCATTGAGCCATCACTCTAGCCCTACAAAATGATGTTTTTTGAGCCAAGACTTCATTACAGTGCAGCAATAGCAGATTGCAGAGTGCTGTTATAATAATCCTTGACCATACAAGTACATCTATCTCTTCATTTCCCCCCTATTGTCTTTCCCTCTCACCCCACAGATGAGAGACAGCTCCCCTTCAGTGTCTCCTACTGCAAACATCACAGCTCCTTTTGGCTTGAAGCCTCGCTCAGGTATGTTAGCCTCAGCTCATTCTTACAATGAATAACGTGGATAATTTCTCTGTGGCCTTTCAAATGTCTGCCTGAGTAATATGAACATTGCCAGTTCTAGTCAGCCAGGGTCCTGGCGTCAGCACAGCTGCAGCTTGGGGAGGTCAGGTGATTGCATGGAGCTGATTGGTCTCTGCTTCCAGGAATGGGCAACCTGCTTTCATTTGGACCACAGCACAGAAAGGTGGCAAAGGGCTCATGTGAGTAGGGAAGGAACACTCCCTTTAACTCTACCTATGGAATATAAAAGAGCTCCCCTTTACCCCAAAGGTTCCTGGTGCCCTGATGCGCTCAAGGGCAGCCTGAAGGCAGAGTCCTACCCAGGATGCCCCCTGTTACTTTCTGAGCATGGTAAGGTCTCTGCATTGACTCACACAGGAGGGTGTGCATTTGAAGGCTTGTGTGAGTGGTTAGGAGTCAGAGGGTGAAATTCTTAGAGGAAAGTGTCTTACTCTTTGACCTACTTGGCTTTAATTTGTGTTGCTATATTGAGAAAAACAGTTATACAATGTGCAAAGTTACCCTCAATTTTTTTAAAAAAGGACTCTAGTTAGAAAATACATTTCTTCATACATTTCCAGTTTGGGTGCTATCTGCCTTTTTAAGGACCTTCTTTGTTTTAAAGTTTTTGTTTCTTTAGTACTTACTGTATTTACCACTGATGCTTTTAAGTGGATTCTAGCGAAGAGCTTGGGCATATGTATGTAAGCACACCTGGTAGGAAACACAGGTGTTCTTGGCTTTTTGGGGGAAAGCATTATGATAACAGTGTGAGTCACAAGTTTCTGGCTTGAAATGAAGGTACCTATGGGAAAAATAAAGATGGTTCATTTGCAAAGGAAATGCTTTGTTCTTGAATCGCATTGATTGATGGGCAGCGTGTGGCCAGGTGTGGGGGTTTCCTGGCCATTAGAACAGTGTAAGAAAAAAAAAAGTTGGAAAAATGCCTCTAAGAGTGATCAGAGTTCCTAGACCTTTTTGTTTCTGTTTTTCAGTCCTGGGAATCAAACCCAGGCCTTTGCATATGCCAGGCAAGTGTCTACCACTGAGCTGTGTCTCCAGCCCTAGAGAGTACAAGCCTAGATGAAAGAGCATAAAACTCAAATTGATTGGCCTCCTCATGTATGAAACGAGGAATATATGGCTAAATCTGGGCTGTGCCTTGTTTCCCATAATCCCAGCTCTGTTCTGGGAGAAATGGAGGTCACCACTGTTGCATCTCCTCTGCCTCCTGTATGACTGCAGACCTTTTCAAGCCTTTTAGACAGTGCTGCAAAATGTAAAAAAAAAAAAAAAAAACCATAGTTGAAATCAGAAGCTGGATGAGTCTTCAATATTAACAGTCTTTTGAATGTTGGACCCTGTAATTTAGTTATACAACGGATCCAGTGACTTCTAATGCATTTAGAGTCCAGCCTCAGCTTACCAAGTCAGAGATTGCCTTGTACCTGCACTGTGCTCAAATTCTGTGAGGAGATGAAAAATAGAGTGTTATTTTAAGCTGGAGAAAACCTCTCCAAGTTTCCAATTGCAGATTCCTTACCCACCCAGTGAAATTACTCTCTGGATATTAAGCACAAAAATAAGATGTGTTATCATTTTATAAATAGCTAACTCAGAAGTTCTTGAGTGGTGGGTTTTTTTTTTTTTTTTCCGTCATTGTTTAGTTTTGTTGTTGTTGTTTTTGGTTTGCCTCTATTAGCTGTTGGTTTTATTTGTGTGTTGCCTATACGGAATATTCAAAAGTTTCATTGAGCAACAATGAAAAGTGAGTTTTAAGGCATTTCAAGGGTTAAAGAAATATTTGATGAGGTCATTTCTTAATTAAACACCCCATGAAACCTTATGCGAGTGTCTTTAAAAATCTACTGTCTTGTTTTTTAAAAAGCGTTAAAATACACACCACTTTGGTAATCCTTTTGTTTTTAAATAGCAGATATATTTATCCAGTTTGATTTTTGTCTCATGTCTCACAGCCTTGGGTGAATTGCACAGTTGTATCTTCTGCTTAGTTGCTGAGAAGGGGGTCTGCAAAGGGTGTCTAGTAGGCCTTTTACTTTCAGTTGCATAAAGTATGAGTGTCCTGCTGCTGCCATGACCCCTGAGACCTCTAGGCTGCAGGCTTGCAGAACTGTTAAAGTTAAGGATATTAACTGCATGCAAAGTATGTGACCGATGAGTACTAACACTCGGTTTTTATCATTCTTTTTATTCCATGCGCCATCTTTCATTCTCCTCCTATATTGTACATTTGAATTTAAACCCCATGTAATGAAATCCACTCCATTTCCATACGAAACTTATGCCACGTGTGAAATGCTGCGGCCCCTTTGGTTTCCCTTGGTCCTTGTGCAACTGTCCGCCTGGCTCTCTCGCTCTCCTGCAGACCCAGCCCTCATTCTCCCTCCTATCTCCTTCAACAAACTTACACAGGCACAAACATGGGACAACTCTAGCTACAGTGTTCCATCTGAAGGAGACAGTGACAATGGTAGGTGCTTTGTCTCTTCTTCAATGCTGTTGTGAATAACCGGGTGGCTGTGCTGAGCATTGCTTTGTGTATAGCTAGGGACAGTAGACACCTGCATGCTCCATACTTAGGAAGCCTTGAAGGCAGTGTCCAGACAAGTGGATGTGAACTGCTACCTAACAGTTGATGACGTGACAGTTTACAGACCTGAGGGTGCTGAGTCTGGGGAGGGATTCACAGACCTCTCTTCTCTGCCTATTTTGATTGGGGTGTAGGTGGTTTGTCTGCTCATCTACAAAGATTTGAGCTCACACATTTGGGTTTAGAAGGTGGGTGTGGTGATACTCTCCTATAATCGAAGCAAAGGGGAGGCTGAGGCAGGAGGATAGCAAGTTGGAGGCTACCTGAGTCTATATAATGGAGCCCTGCCTCAAAAACTAAGGTTGCTCTTTTATTATCTGTGTTAACCACGTGGGGTTTTAAGATAATTTAAAGGTACCATGGCTAATCCCAGAGTTTGCACTGAAAATAATGTTGACACTGAGAAGTTCCTAAAAATGAAGAGAAATTACTTTTCCCCATATTTTCAAAGTTTTTATGCATTTGACTTTTACACTTTTTTGGTATGAATCACGTTAAAGGATACTGAGTTAGTCTGAAAATAATATGTATACATTTCTCAAAGTTGAGGACACCCAGTGAATCTTAATATAGACATCCTAATTTTGTCTCATTAGATAGGTCAAGTAGTTCAAGATAAAAATAAAAGAATTTAGAACTATATACCACATATATACAAATCTCTGTTCTGGTTTAATGCTAGTTGTGAACATTTTACCTCAAACTATGAAGTGATAGAAGAAATATTAAATTGAACAGAGAAGTGAGATACGAGGCATAACCACCACACACACATAGCAGTACATATGTCTGGGATGCTCAGTGAGCTAGCTATAATATCTACAATGCTTAGAAGATAAAGTTAGAATACTGGCTGTGATCTCTGCTTAAAATTCAGCCAAATTTCCTCCTGACTAAAGAATGATGCATATTCTGATAGACTGACTCTGCAAGGAATATTACTATTTCATAGTTGTCTAAATCAGTGCTTTCCATCCTCCCTAATGCTGCGACCCTTTAAAACGGTTCCTCATGTTGTGGTGACCCCAACAATCATTGCTACTTCCTAACTATAACTTTGCTACTGTTATGAATTATAGTGTAAATATCTGATTTTTCTGATAGTCTTAGGCAACACCTGTAAAAAAAGGTGGTTCAACCCCCAAAGGGGTTGTGATCCACAAGTTGAGAACTGATGGTCTGATATTTTTCACTGAAAATAAGCCCAATTAAAAAACAAACAAACAAACATGAAACAAACCGCCCCCTTGATGTCACCCTACGTTAAATTCTGGAAGCTGAGGACGGTTCGATGGAAGCTTTCTTGATAAACTGTTCTTTTATTTAAAAATAGATGACCAATTATGAAGAGGAGTTTCTGCTTTTCTCAGAACCTGGTTGTTCATGGCTGTGATGTTGCTTACTGGAATTAGGCCTAGTTGTGAAACATTTATGTTCGAGTTGGTATTTCCTCAGGAATGATGTCTGAAACCAGAGGACTTTTTCTAAAACCTGGGAAATATGTAAAACTTTTAAACAGCAGAATTTCTGTGCTGGTATGTGAACAGACCATAGTCAGAATGTCCAGGTGCTGTGTGGATGTCACTGAGAGACAGGGATAAAGGAGCCTGCATTCCCAGCTCTCCACTGTCTCCTGTCAGACAAATCTACATTCATTGTCCCAGTGAGGCCCTGACGTGTAAGGCCCTAGGCCAGGCCTTCTTTTTATTAGAAATTCTGAGGCTTCCACAGCCAATACTCAGTAGGAGCATCTAAAAATAAAACAGCCCTGCATTTATTACATGACCTTTTTTTCCCTTGTGTATAACAATTCCAGGGATTTACCACATTTACCACAGCAATAATAAAAGGACTGTTTTCAGTATTCCTCTGGACTGGGCAATCATGTCAGATGTTTCTGGTGGTTTTCATTTTTCTTTAATTTGTCCGAAGTGTGACTCACATCTTCATCCCCTGTGTATTAGACTTTGCCTGGTGACTGCAGTATGTTTTCTAGCTCCGTTGAAGAAGCTGTGCAGTAGAAGAGCTGATGCTCATGGCAAATATGCTTTCCATGTTGTTCTCGATGCTTCCATAGATCCAGACTGTTTACTCTAGGCCTTCTTGCCGTGGCCAACAATGCTTATTTGCACATTTATGTTGTTTCCCCAGTTTCTTCATTGTCTGACACCTGTGGCTGTCCAACCATGTAAACTATAGCTTAGATTACCATACAGTAACTTTTACTTACTAACTTTGGCAAACTTAGAATATTCACCCCTTTGTTTATTGCCTTACTTTGCACACAAAATCTTCTCCTTTCATTTAAATCCCTTCCAACATTCTGTTCCAAATTGAGCTCATTTTAAATTCACCATTTTCTTTGTAACGTATTCTTTAAAGAGACTTTTTTTTTTTAATGGCAAATAAGCTGGTTTTTGGAGACTCACAGTTTCTGAAGTCAGTCTCTTCACAGGGACAGATGGAACGGAAGTACATCTGTGACTCTGCCTGCCTCTGTCACAGGCTGGGGTGGCTTTTCTTCCCAATGATCATTACTGAGAACTCGCCCTCTTCTGACCTAGCTCTTAAACATTCTCTTGTGGCTTACTTGGAGGTCAAAAACCCATCCTGGTCTCTTTTGAGGTATTTCTGCCTTCTCATTTGAGGTGAATTCATGGGTACTAATTTAGACATTTAAAATTGATATTCATAGTGAGTGAATGGACATCCATCTCTGGCCAGTTTACAGACATTTTGTTTCTTTTATGATGACAGTAAGGTCTTATTCTCTCCATTATAAAATTAGGGAATCTGAGGCTGTGTGAGATTCCTCAGTGGTTTTCAACTGTGGCTTTAGGTTAGAATGTCTGGTCCCCATGTTCAGAGACATTAGGTGACCATTGGCATTGAGTCTAAGCATTTACTTGTCTGTCTTTATCTTTTTATGTCTACATTGTAGACATAAGATTGACAATATCCCAGTTAAGTAAACTGCCCAAGATAATAGAGAGGAAATATCAGCATTTGAAGGGCAGTAAATGCACCTAATTCACTTGGAGCACCAGAAGGAAATGGAGGAGTTTACCTGATTTCTAACTCCCAAGAACCTGAATCTAAAGCCCATAAGTGTCCACAGTCATTATATTTCTGCCCTTGAATTTGAACATATTAAAAGGTACTCCAGTCCACATTTTCAACTTCCAGGAAAGAGAAAGCTAAATTTCAAAGCCTCGTGCTTTCACGGAGATGAACTCTCCTTTAATTCTGTTTAGTTTTGGTAATAGGAATTGAGTAGGGAGCTCTTGAAATGCTGTGATAGAGAAATAACACAAGACAGGATGATTCTTCCATGGGTCAGTTTCTTGAAGACTGGCTTCAGAAAAAATAAGCTGGCAGGCTTATTAGCTGAAAGAGTTTCTTCAAAATTCTTAAATAGTCCACAGAAGTTATAACTAATTTAGTGTATATACTACATATACTCCTTGTTTTCAATAACTATATGTACATTTGAAGTATTTGCTTAAAACTGTAAACTACAGTTGAAATACCTGTAATACTTTTTGATTGCTTGCCATTCACAGAACAAACACGGCAATGTGCAGATTTTGTTTTTAAGAGGCACAGGAATTTAAAGTAAACAGGCATGTCAGGAAATGAAAACCCAGACCTCATTGCATTACCCTGCTATCTCTCGCAGGGCCCTGCCAACATAGACACTTGGATTGTGTGCAGTTAAACCAGAGTTCACAGTTCATTCAGCTTCCTCATATTTTCATATTCAGAACAGAATCGTCCAATGAAAACATATTGAACATATCAAGCAGGTCATATTAGATAAGATTTCCCCAGGAAAAAATGCAAAAGGGAAATGACCTCTGAAGGAAACAGTAGGCCTATTGGAGTGGGGTCGAGGCACCCCTTGGTGGCATGTGGGTGCTTTACCAAGCACCACCCACATTCCTCGACTCTTTTGGTAAATTCAGTTAACATCTTTGTGAGATGAGATTGCCTTTAGGTTTTACCCTGCATTCTTCTTCCTATTGCTGTGTTTCTATATTGCTGTGTTTCTATCACTTCTAATTTGTCAGCCAACTCTCACTTTCTTTTTCAACTCTCCCCTCACCGGCTGGATCACATTATCTTTCTTTTGCTAGCTTTGGCTTGCTAGCTTTCTTTCTTTGAGACTCTTACCACAGAGTCTCCTGTAGCATGCTTCTTTTTTTTTTTTTGTTTTGTTTTTTTTTGTTTTTTGTTTTTTGAGACAGGGTTTCTCTATGTAGCTTTGGAGCCTATCCTGGCACTTGCTCTGGAGACCAGGCTGGCCTCGAACTCACAGAGATCCACCTGCCTCTGCCTCCCGAGTGCTGGGATTAAAGGCGTGCGCCAATGACGCCTGGCTGTGTGGCATGCTTCTTTACCAGTGACTTCTTGGTTCGCTTCCCTCATAAATCCAGGGTGCACACTCCATTCTGTCGTTCCGGAAAGCCTTGTGCACACTAGGTCAGCCTCATTCTCCAAGTACCGAGTCAAAGACTGTGTCAAGCTTCTCAGTGTTGGTTCTGGCATCTTTGAACTCATGTAGAAAGAAAACTGCAGTATTCAGTTGGATACAGTCTCACAGCAGTAAATATTTAGGTACATGAAGAGCACATGGTTTATTTTTCTCTAAGTGTTGTATTTGCAAGCCATAATTAATTTTTAAAGTGTAGTAAGCTGAGGTCGTTTCTAAAGTGACCTTGTAGGAAATGACAGAATGGACGTCTTAGACTCCTTGGATTCAGCGCTGTTTAAATGACAGTGGCTGGAACTATTGCAGTTGCGGTGTCCATGCCTCTTACTAGGTGGTGGCGATTTCTGACACGGACATTCTCAGCACAAACTGTCCTTAATGACTCAACGCCGCCACCACCTCCCAGCCAAATCTAAAAATCAGCCCTGAGAGAACCAGACCATCCCAGCCCCAACAGCCTTGTGTCTCCAGGCTAAAAAAAAAAAAAAAAAAAAAAATCTCTGATAAGAAAAACTTAAGATTCCTGCTACAACTCGCCCTCCCCCCCTTTTTTGAGACAGGGCCTCACTGTCTAACTCTGGTTGGCATAGGACTCTGTAGACCAAGCTGGTCATTAACTCACAAGAGATTCATCTGCCTCTGCCTTCCAAGTGCTGGGATAAAAGGCATGTACCATCATGCCTAGCTACTAAAATCATTCTATACAAGTAAACTATTTTTATAAGGCCGCGAATCCATTTTTATTTATTTACTTTTTATTAGCTTAAATCTGTAAGAGATGCAGCATCACACATATCTTGTATCCAGTGGCCTTTGCAATATGTTGCTTTGGAATTTGGCATGAACCAGGTCACTGTTTCCACAGGCCAGAGTTATCTTTCAAAACCAGATTATTCTGCTTTTGTTCAGTTTGCTTCTGGAAGTCACTAGGTTGCTTTTTGCTCTATACACCTAAACATCTCTTGCCTAAGGAGAATTCAGTTTCATCTCTAGCATACACACCTTCACTTTCAAGAAGAGCTGAAAGTATACTTGGTTTTTAGGAGTTCTGGTCCCAGCATTCCTTGACAGGTGCAAAGATGGTGGAAAGCCATAAGTAGGCTGTATTTTATTCATCCTAACTGATATTATCACCTAGAAGTTTAGTGCATATGATATTTTGAGTTTTTTCCCATTGTCTGTTCTGTTCTGTTCTGTTCTGTTCTGTTCTGTTCTGTTCTGTTCTGTGTTGTGCTGGGGACTGAACCCAGGACTTCATATGTGCTGGGCAAATGCTCTATCATTGAGCTACACATTCAGCCCAGGAGAGTGTATATATTTTCCGTTTTTTAACTTAAAAAGTATTTATTTTTATTTTATGCATATGGATGTTTTATCTTACATGTATGTCTGTTTACCATGTCCATCTCTGATGCCCTCAGAGGCCAGAAGAGGACGTCAGATCCTCTAGAATTAGAGTTCACGTGGGGGCTGGAATTGAACCTTGGTCCTCAGACAGTGCTCTTAACTGCTGAGCTGTCTTTATAGCCCTGAGAGCATGTATTTTCTGTGCTACTCCAGGGGAAGCAGTGTTTTCAGCCACTGCTCTGGTAGGAAGCCTAAGGCCCCCGAGCCAACAGTGATGAAGCTACCTGTAGTCCCACCCGCCTTTGGGACAGTAATCCAAGGACAGCTGTAAAGAACTGGCTCATTGAACACCAGGGTGATGGGACAGAAAGCAGAATTTTTCCATTTTATTCTCAAATATATAGCCCCGCATGTCATCACTTAGTTGGTGATAGAGGCTTATTAAATGTGAAGCCAGCAAGAACAATTTCCTATAACTGTTTGTAACACATAAAATAATTCTATTATCTTAGTTGATAAACATTATTTAGCTTTAAAGAAAAATAAAGCATACAATTAGAATTCAATTAGAACAAAAGAAACAGTGGCAGTGAGAGAGATTGAGGTGATGGCATGCCCTTATCTCCACCCCTGTGAAACCCATCCCTCAGTTCAGTCTGTTCAGCTAATTCAGTCACCGCATAATCAACTTCCCAGTCTACACAACCTAGAGTAACTCAAGAGATAGTTTCCCTTTGAGGATTAACATCAGACTTTCGCTGTGAACCTTTGAGAGATAAATAATTTGGGATGAATAAATAATTTATTTAATTAAAATAAGAATAGCCCTGTGGAGCAATATGGATTGATCCCCGCCCCACCCCCCATTTCTATTACAGTGTTTGTAAGACCGCAGAGAAATTTGGAATCTATAGACCCACAGTTTACGATTCGGAGGAAAATGGAGCAGATGAGAGAAGAAAAAGAGCTGGTGGAACAGCTCCGAGAGGTACTGGGGGCGGCCTGTGACTGAGTGTGGTGTTCAGAGTCAAAGCAGTGTTCTCTGTGTTGGAAAAGCCTTCCTGAAGCAACACACAGTATTGATCCAGCTAGGTTGGTCCCTGACAGACTGTTTGTTATTGTGTAAGTCACTAAACCTTGAGTTTCAGTTTCTGCTTATACTAAAGACCCATAAGGGAGTTCTGATATACTATAAAAGAATGCCTGTCATTTATTTGCTTAATAGTAATGTTTCATTACTTTAAAGGCATTTATCTAGTATTCTGAACTTTGTATTTCCAACAGGTGAGAGCTTTTAAAGCCACTCGTAATAAGCCATTGAATTCCAGTTGGATTCCATCCAAGATATTCAGCTTAATATTGGGGGGCACTGGGGCTGTGTGTTCACGCTGCTGTGGAACCTCATGGACACTGGAAGTTCTTTCTGTCTACTTAGGAAAATGATACATTTGTATGAGAACTAACAGTCCCATTGCCAAGGAGGAAGCTGGTGTCATTTGTGAAGGCAGTGTGTAAGGTACTCACATTCAAAGAGAAGTATCATAGGGCTACAGAGGGTAGGAAAGCTTCTGAGAGGCCACAGATTTTATGTTGAAGCCTCTCCTTTCTCTGACAAATGTTTTTTGGCCACTGTATTAGTTGGGGCCTTTAAAGGGAAAGAACTGGTAGAATAAATGAATATGCACACATACATAGACACATACACACACACACACACACACACACACACACACACACACATATATATATATATATATACCTGTGTATATGTATTTATTTAATGCATATAATTATTTTAATCAAATATATATATATATATGCATATGTATAATTAGGGGATTTATTTAAAGATTGACCTGTAAGTAATCATAAGAGTCTCATACTGGAGAGGCCAAGGATCCAGTAATTGCTCAGTCCTGGAGGCTCAACGTCTCAGCAGGCTGAATCTGGAACTGAAAGCCTGGAGGAGTCCTGCAGAGATGCTGGAGTCTAAAAGCAAAGCTTCCTTCTTTCATGCCCGTTTATCCAAGCTGCCACCAGAGCATGTCACCCACAATCAGATGGGTCCTCCTGATTCACAGGAGGGCTCCACAGCTTGTATTTTGGTTGATTCCAGATTCAGGCAAATTGATGACCAAGATTTGCCCTCACAACCACCTATGCCATGCAGCATTGAGGTGATTGACACGAATGGTGCTCCCAGTAAGCACACTTGCACAAGCTAAGTACCCTGCAGGGTCAGGTGAAGATGTCGATGTCTTTTGAGTTGAAGAATAGCATGGACGTGAACTCTGTGGCTTTTCTTCTCACCTCATGTCCTTCTGCAGCCAGAGAGCACAGTGAAAGCTTGTGTCCTCTACCTAGACAACTAGGGAGTGGGTGGTCTAGCAAGACAGAGAGCTTTCAGACAGTTACATAGATTGTAATCCCAGTGCTGAGGAGGTGGAGGCAGAAGGTCTAGGAGCTCAAGGTCGTCCTCAACTACACAGAGAGTTTGATGATAGCCTGGGCTACATGTGCCACTGTCTCAGAAACAAACTAAAAAAGGATTTCATTATTTCCACAGTTTTTAATTAAAGCATTTCAGTACAACTGAATGAATCTGTCTTTATACAGAAGGTTTTTAAAAAATGTTGAAAATATTTAACACAAGTTTTTTCCAAACCTTCTGTGTCTGGGGTGTATATGTATGTGTGTGCACACACATATGTGTGGAGGCCAGGAGATGACCTCAGGTGCTCCTCGGGTTCCATCTACATTTTGTTTTTGAGTCAGGGTCTCTCTTTCATTGGCTTGGACCCTACTCACTATGCTGACTGGTTAGTAAGCCTCAGGGACCGTCCTGACTTCACCTCCCCGGTGCTGGAATTGCAGGCATACACTACCATGCCAGACTCTTTGGGCTCTGGTATCAAGCTTGGGTCCTTGCAAATACTTCACTGACAGAGCCACCTCCCTACCTGCAGACAATCTTACCCTTGTCCCCTCATTGAGAGTAGTGCTCTAGTTCAGATACAGCTGTGTTTAACACTTCACTTGTTTTGGTACCCATAGCAGCTGACTCTTTCTGCTTCCACCCCCAGAGCATCGAAATGAGGTTGAAAGTGACCCTGCATGAAGACCTAGGAGCAGCACTCATGGATGGTGTTGTGCTCTGCCACTTGGCCAACCACATCCGCCCTCGGTCTGTTGCCAGCATCCATGTTCCCTCACCTGCAGTTGTAAGTAATGCCAGATAGAGGAAAACTGGCGTACGGTAGACTCTCTCTGCATGGAGTTGTTGGTGAAGATGCTAGTGGGTTCTCCAGGAGTCTACCTGGCTCCCTTCCATTGTGTCCCATACAACTAGAAGAACTGAGCAAACAGGGAGTCTGAGGAAACAGCATTGCCACTAGGGGAGGCTATTAAAAACATGTATGGGAAAGACAGAAAATAACTATCTCAGGCGTGGAGTTTAAAGACCTTACAGATCCAAATGTTGGCTTAAAGGCCATGGAGCACAGAGATATGCCTGTTTAAAGGCCATAAAGCACAGAGATTTGGTCCTCACAAAGGGGTATTTAAACAGCAAGGTGTCTCTTCAGAAGGGTGTCTTGGTGAAGGTTTTTTTCTAAGTGGATTCTCATGCTTTTTTTCTCAGTAGGATTCCACTAGATACTCACCAGATAACCCAGACTGAGTGCTCACACCTCAGTCTCCCCAGTGCTAGAGTTACTGATTGGGATTTCTTCTCTCTACTCATCATTGGGGATTTTGCAGTAGCATCCTGAGTAACTGACCAATCCAGGCACCACTCAGCTGGTATTTCTCCCCCCTTCTCATCTTCTTTTCTCTCTTCCCTCTGCCAGGGATCAAACCTATGGCCTCCGCCTGCTAAGCAAGTGCTTTCCCACTGAGCTATCTCCTAACCCAGACCCCATGTCCTAGGTGTCACAGAGCCTGGGACAGGTGAAAGAAAGCTACAGGGGCAGTTTGTGATCCTGCCTCCAAGAGGGGAGGAATCAGATAGACTTGTCTTTGCAGCCCATATAAGGTTATACAAATAAACGCAAAAAGAGTTTATGTCAATGGGTTTGGTGAATCAGGGAAAGCTGAGGAGCTTAGGACCTAAGATGCAAGACTGGATTAAAATTCCACATCTATGTCTAACAGCTTTGGGCAAGCTGCATCCTGTCTTTAGCTTGATACACCCTTCTCTGAAATAGACCTGCTCTTGAGAAGATGATATGAGGTACTAGAGAGACAAGCCACATAAATGAGCCACTGCTACACGCCGTGTTTATATATAGCAGAGCCACTAATGGCAAGGTACAATTTCGACTGTGTAATCAGTGTGTCAGGTGACCACTTGTGGGAAACCCCTGCCCTCCTTCAGGAAGCTCTCACTAGGGCGTTTTTTATCCTACTCTGTTTTCCTCTGGTAGCAGAAGGATTAGCTGATGGTCTCATTTCAACTGTCAGTTTCTTGTCTATAATATTGATTCTGCTTTTTCCTTTCAAAGGCATGGCCACTTTTTTTTTCTTTTTTCTTTTCTTTTCTTTTTTTTTTTTTTTTTTTTTTTTTCCTTAAAAAATTTGTTTCTGTTTTTTTTTTAAAAAGGCATGCCCTTTTTTTTTTTTTTTTTTTTTTTTTTTTTTTTTTTTTTTTTTTTTTTTTTGCCTCAGAAACATATTGGAGGAGGGGAACAATGTAACTTCTCTTTGAAATCTGTCTCTAGCATCCTTAATGGAGGGTAGTGAATTCTGTCATTCAGTGTAGTGCAGAGGTCTTCTTGTTGCTGTTATCAAGAGTCATGTTTATTTTCGAGCTCTGTGTGTGGGTGTGTGCACATAAGCACAGGAGGCCAGAGAAGGGTATTGGATTCCCTGGAGCTGGAGCTGCAGGTATTATGTGGGTGCTAGGAACTGAACTTGGCTCCTCTCTTAGCCACTAAGCCAATTCTCCATGACATTGTGTGAGCTGTATGCCAGACTGTCAGTGTTTTGAGACATACTGGATTCTCTGGCTTCCAAATAGAATGTACACTGTCACCTTGCAAGGTGTCAGCAGACATTCAGAATTGTAAACCCTTACACTTTTATTTATGTTTCAGGAAAAATGGTATACTTTTGATGAGAGATTTTTATTTTAATATTTTTTAATTGGAGAAATATAGGAAACAGTGCTTGGTAGCAGAAAACAGCATCCTTCTGTCTTTACCATTAACACACTCCATACTTTTATGTTTTTAATTGTGATTTGATATATACTCTGTGGTAACATTTCAAATCTATGGGAGCCTAAGTTGTCTGTCATCAGTGCCTTCCTGATTATCTTTTTACTGTTGTGTTGCGGGAGCGGGAGTATGTTCCTTACGAATTTCTTCTAAATGCCCACTTACCAGAAATTCTCTTGTGATCTGCTTGAAGTATTTTTGTTTTTAAAGTTGGTGTTGGTGTGTATGTGTGTGTGTGTGTGTAGGCATATGCTTGCCACACTGGGTATGTAGAGATCACAGGATAACTTATAGGAGTTGGTTCTCTTCTACTGTGTGGGTCCTAGAATGGAACTCAGGTCATTAGGCTTGGTAGTAGGTGCCTTTACTACTAAGCCATCTTGCTGGCCCTTCAAGCAGCCCTGCTGTAGCCATAGAATCTGGACACCACGGTTCCTGCTCTGACCCAGGAGAATTTGGTTTCCTTGTATTTTCCTGCATTGCTAACCTATCACCAGTAATAACTACCCCATGTCACTCTACACCGTCTTTCAGCTTATTGTCTCAATTACACTGGAGCTGTGTGGGCCAAGGTTTCTGTCTTTTTGGTCCATTGTTGTACCTTCAGCACCAAATAGAACATGTTTGTGTGTAGACTAGACAACCAATATGGATGTGTTGCACCATCAGCAATGCCCAGTGTACCTGTCCTGACCATACTACTGCAAGCATTAAGTATTCTGGTCTTTCAGTTCATGAGTCCCAGGGTATGTGTGTTTTTAAAGCCAAGCTCAGGGAAGGTAGTTTGGATAGAGTCATTGCCATTCTTAACACAATAAAAATTTCCTTAAGAGGAGAAAAATTAGTTTCTCTAGTTTTGCCAGGCTGTAAGCAAAACATTGGTATCCCAGTTGGTGTAATTAAAAGTGTGTTTTGATTGACCAATGGTGAGGCTTTTTTGTTTAAACTTATTTCTTAGTTCTAGTTAGGGAACAATCTTGTTTCAAGTCCCTTCTCCCTCTCCCTCCCCTCACCCCCAACCCTCC